ATATTAATTTATAGTGAGATATTTTTTTTCTAGAGGATGTAATTTTTTTTAATGGTACAATGGAATTTTTTAAGATAAAAAAAAGGTTTTTTGTAACAATGTAACAATAAACTACTTATGCAAAGTTGGGTTTGTAATGAATTTGTAAATTTCACAGTACTACAACATTTGTTTCATATGATAAATAAATTTGCATTTAATAGTAATATTTCATATACTGTATAAACACTTGCACACGATTTATTGTTATTTGTATAATCATATAAATTGTGTAATTTATTACATTTATTTCCTACTAATGCCATCATAATAATAGTAAAAAACTAGACCTTATTCACACTACATGGAAAATAAAATATAAGTGTGATTATTACTCTCTTACTTGATGGGCAAGTATCATCCCCGGCGCAACGCGACGGTTACGCCTTGTAATATTTGGAAAAAAAAAATTCTGATTAAAAGGAATTGGATTAGTTATACAACGTGACTAGCGTGTCTTAAGTCTTAACTATAAAAAATACAGATCAGCAATTCAAAATTAATTTATACAGGCTAATCTAAACGTTAATCACACAAACACTAACCTATCATTAGCTTCAAATATTGGGATAAATTCTGGTGAAATAATCAATTGTCTACTATTATACGGACATTTATACCTGTTTGAATGAATATGTGAGTGAGACGTATAATATAATTATTTTATAATTTATTTAAAAATATTCATCATTATTTTTAGATTTTTTTTTTTCAGGATATTATCACTTTAACATTCAAGTAACTGATATTAATTGTTTTAAAGCAATATATAACCTGAAAACATTTAATCAGTAAAAAATAATTAATTGCCAATCCGCCACTCAACGATACAAAATTGATTGGTAGATCCGTCGCAAGTTCTTATATGAATGACGTTGATCGGCACATTTCAACTCCAATTTTGTCCTACATAAGTCATGCTTATTGCAACCAATTAAAACGTGAATATGTCACAAAAACAAAATTTTTTTCGTTTGCTATAAAATTTAAAAAGTTTACCTTGGGGGAAGTCACCATTCCAGCTCATATTTTAGGTAACTTTACACCAATTATTCGCGAATTTTGCAAATTTTACAAAGGTTTTTTTGTACTATTATGTAATATACGGTATATTCTTGCTTAGAAAATAAAAAAATTTTTTTTTTTTTTTTTGGCAATGTTTTAGTTTTACCAGTTTTATAAAACTATACCTAAGTAATTAACACCTTTTTTTAATGTATTTTTAGGGCATTTATATTACAACAAAACTTTTTCAAACTTGTGCAAACACCATTCAGAAGCAATAGTATTTAATATAAAAATGTGCGACGAGATTAATTATAGAATGCCGATCATTTCGCATCGCTGAGTGGAGAATCGGCAATTAATATAATATTATAAAACAACAAGACAAATTTAATAAAAATTGGCTAATTCAAAATTTTCCTAGAAAAGATTTCTTTATATATTTAATAAAAACAATAAAATAACAAAATCGAATAAATAATATTTCGGCGAAATGTCCATTCGGCAAATGTCCATTTGGCGAAATATTTATTCGATAAATGGCTTTGACGAAATGGAATTCGGTGAAATAGGGTTTCGGTATAATTGATGATCATTTTTAGCTTAACTTCTGATGAAAAAGAATCTTAATAACTTCTGATGAAATGTCTTACAACTTTTCTTTTCTGTTAACACCAAATCTGGCATATCTAATAATTTTTTAAAATGCCAGAAACACTATAAAGCCAACCGTTCCGTTGTGAGAGAAACATTAGGCTGTAATTGACTAACTGACTGAATGAACAAATATGTCTTCAAGTAATTTAATTACACAATTATTAATTAAACCTTTTAACAAAAGTTCGCGTGAGAAACGCTAACTCAATATTGGTAATGTTGACAAAAATACGTATCAATATTAACAGAAATTTAAACTAAACATATTTTATTATGCTGGAGTGGACGGATTTTTTTTTTGTTGCTAGTTTATTTTAAATTTGAAATGTTTAAACGTAACTATGTGAATTTCTTTAAAACGCAACTATATAAAGCAAATAAAAATCATCCGATTTAAATTCCAATCATTGATGATGGACCGTAATTATTCCGATAATGTATAACATAAAACATCATAGAATTTTTCGGAATCATTGTGAAATAATATGACGCAGGACTCGCCTAGGATCCGTAGTACTCCCTCCCTTGAAAGCATGTCATATATTTTACTTACCATATCGGCCAAAATCAAGCCTGATGGGTCAATCAGAAACATTTTTCATAGACGGAATTTTGTAGATGTTAGAGAGAATCTAAAGTCCTAGTATCTTAATATAAATAATAAATAATCGTTAGTAAGCAGAAAATAGAAACTAATTCGGCGAAAGTTGGAGGCCTGGAGTTACCAACCAGCTTCTCCAAATGGAGAAGGGTTGCACACACGAGGACGTTACCATCAGAAAACGAAGGTCGTGGGTGTTGTAAAACCAATTCCATGAGAAGCCTTGAGTTACCAACCGACTTCTCCACCGGCGGCAAACAAAGCCTGAAGTTACCAACCAGCTTCGCCAAATGGAGAAGTGTTGCACACACGAGGGCGTTACCAACAGAAAACGAAGGTCGTGGGTGTTGTAAAACCAATTCCTTGAGGTCTGAAGCTACCAACCAGCTTCGCCAAATGGAGAAGGATTGCACACACGAGGGCGTTACCAACAGAAAACGAAGGTCGTGGGTGTTGTAAAACCAGTTCCATGGGAAACCTTGAATTACCAACCGGCTTCTCCACCGGTGGCAAACAAAGTCTGAAGCTACCAACCAGCTTCGCCAAATGGAGAAGGATTGCACACACGAGGGCGTTACCAACAGAAAACGAAAGTCGTGGGTGTTGTAAAACCAGTTCCATGGGAAACCTTGAATTACCAACCGGCTTCTCCACCGGTGGCAAACAAAGTCTGAAGTTACCAACCAGCTTCGCCAAATGGAGAAGGATTGCACACACGAGGGCGT